AATAAATATATTAGTATATTGTATTTTTGAGTTTATATTTATGTCTGTGCCATAAATATATATATATATATATATATATACAAATGATAAAGACTTTCGACATGTGTTCCATTCAGAGTTGCTAAACTGTAACTCCATGTCTGACTATCTACCAAACCTAAATATATTATCATTCACACACGCTTAAATCAAACCTGTGCTCAATAACATGAGGGAAATCTCCATCATCTCTCTCTAAAGACTCGTTCTCAGTACAATTCGCTTCATGTCTGCTGCCAAACAAGCCCAAGTCTACAGGTGGATGAGCTACTTTTCACAAAATGTCTGTCCACAGGCAGCCATTTCACTGCAGAGTTGTTTTGGTGAGGAGATGGAAATAAAAACCAGATCTGCTCATGACAATTGAGGTTAGATTTACGAGCAGATGTGTGTTTGTACGCAGTGACTCAACAGACTCACTCTCTTTTTCCCAGTACTTTGTACCTCGCTAAATGTCTTTAACATAAAAATCTCATCAAGCACAAGCACAGGATTTACCCTCACTACCTTGACCCACAACACTAGACCCCACTGCCTTTCATTGAACAAATCCCTGTAATTGTCATGGAGTGACAAAAACAACTTACCTCATGAATATGAATTAGGTTGTACACAAACAATTTATCACAATCTTGAAAAAATACTGTATTGCATTGAAGATCATGTCTGAAGTAGAGTATTTGCATAACCTCAAGTCAAAGTGAGCTGTAAACAATAATATTCCGTTTAGAAATGTCCAAAAAACAATCAAAGCAGTGATGACAAATAGTTATAACAATTCAAAACAATAAAAATCCAGTGCATTATATCACATTATAGTAGAAAAAGTACTGAAAGTGTCCAAAGACATTACTTGCATAAACCTTTACTGGAAAAAACTCAACATGTTTAATCAAAGGATTCACAAATACTACAAACGTGAACTGGAGAAGTCATTCTATGAAGTCCACACCTGCCCTTGGAAACCTTAAAAACATCCTTTGTGAAATTCATAATAAAACTTTGACACTGATAAGCACTCTGTGAAAGTATAATCAAGAACTACAATATCTCAGGCCCATCACATGTGCAAAAGAAACATGACTTCATGGACACACAATTCATAAAATGCATACTTCTGGTTTATTCTCTTCTAAAATATAATGCACACACACAAATCATATTTCATTTATCTAGCATTTTCCTTTCTTTGCTAATGTCCAATAGATCCAAAAAAGATAACATTAAAAGAAGAGAATTCTGTACTGTAGCCCCCCTAACCTATGCAATACATATTCATTGTTGCTGTGTAAGGAATGTAGCACTCGGATGCATTCAGTTACTTCACCAATTATGTGTGTGTGTGCTGAAGGTAGAATAGGGTATACAAGAGGAGGAGGAGGAAGTATTAATAGACTTATTTTTACATTGCTTGTCTCCTGCGCTCTGATGGACAGATCATTAGATCATTTTCACTGGCGTCTCTCTGAGGTCAGGCTCTGGTGAACTACAGTCACGCAACCCCAGCTTTACTACAGGCTCTTAAAGGGCCAGAGCTTCCTTTAAACACAAATGAAAACTGCCCAGACTAAGAGACTGACCACCCATACATCCATTCACCCAACATTCTGGAGTAAGACTTTTTGCTTTTGTCGTTTATGCTTCCCAAGGCTGTTTATTTTCATCAAAAATACAGTAAAACTAGTCATTTTGTGAAATAATACAATTTAAAATGGTTTTGTATTTGAATATATTTTAAAATAATTCTCCTATCCTTCAATTCATACCATCAAACCTGGTAAATTGGTCACGTGACACAAACATAACAGACCACTGAGCAGCCACATGCGCTCCGATGGCAGATTATTTCACATCACTAGCACTAATGACAACGGCTTTCCAACTGAACCTTAACCTTGCCAAAGATGGGTCAACATGCGCGTTTTGTGAATTAATGGCTGTGTGTGAGAGAACCTGAGTTTGGAAACAGTCTTCACATGAGATCATGCATCAGTCTGCTGGCACACGGCTCTGTTTATGGTATTAATCTCGTTTTACATGACTGTTATTATAAATTCTGTTTTATTGAGCATTGCATATTGATTTGAAAACTTTTCCCAGGAATGCTTCACAATCCCTAAATGGCATTTATAATAAATAACACAGCACAAAGAATTGAAAAATGTCATTTATTTAGTGACTGATAGTCCGTCTCCAAGCTGCATAACAGGCATAAAAAACAGTTTAAAGGAAAGAGGGGACTGAATGTGTTGCAAGGAGAAAATAAAGGATTTGCACAAAGTCCCACCATGTCAGGCGAACATTATTACAGTTGTCACGCAACAGAACACTCCTTTATAATGTATCTGGGTAGTTTTTACTAGTCGTTTCCACGACATTGTGTGCAAAGGAACCGCCTTCTGATTGCCAACAAACACGGAGCCCATAAATGTTCTTACTGGAGGTTTTGATGTCGACAATAAATATCTCAGCTCTTTAGAAGCAGCTTTTTATGCTGCGCTTTGCATTCTGTTGCTAACAAAGAGCTGTTTGAATGGTCAGGGTGACAGAATACATAATACTAGCCTTTTAAGGGAATTAAAACGCATTCGGATCATATGCACATAAACTGAAAATAATTTTTTAGAAACAATTTTACTCAGAAATTGCAAGTAAATTTCAGAATTAATTTTGAAAGACTGAAATAGTTTTTTCATGTAAAACATACTCCAATAATCTTTGAAAACTAATTTTTTACAGTGTTTGCACAACATAAAGATCAAATATGGATTTATCCAATGGATAACTAAGGTCAGGGATTTCTCATGCAAGGGAGGGGGAAAATCCTCTGTCCCATGCTAAAACAGATGTTTGGAGACTCACGCACTTGCATGATGCTAGACGCTTGGATCATTTATCAGTTTCTAGCACACATTCTTACATGACGAAAACAAACAGAGGAATGTTTCCAGGACAGAGACGTGAGATGGAATTTTCCTGATTTGCACGCAAGAAGAATTTGCCAAGGAGGGTCTGGCGACTGCCAAGCATCTGCACAACTGTGAGTTCACTGGGGGGAAATTTTAACATGATACTGGACACTCAGTGTGGAAGAGCACCAGAGCCAACATCATTCCCTTGTGAAGAACAATCACCCTGCTGCTGTCAGCCCTGTCTTCAACTGATGACGAATTCATCAGTATTACATTCCTACATTATTATCAATGACACCTCTTCCAAATGTCACAAGCAATGTCTTAAACTGTGCTCAGTTTTGCCAATATACTAAAGTCAGAGATCTTGAAATGAACTCTGACATCTCAAATTCTTCCAAGACTGCATTACCTGATCCATGTTATACAACTGTCAGTAACTTACTTTAAAGAAATTGATACTTTTATTCAACAAGGATAGATTAAATTGGCCAAAAGTGAGACTAAAGACGTTAATAGTGTTACAAAATATTTCTCTAAAATAAACACTCTCTATTCACAAAAGAATCCTGTAAAAAATTATCACTGTTTCCACAAAAATATGAAGCACCACAAATATTTTCAACATTGATAATAATTCGAAAAGTTTCTTGAGCTGCAAATCAGCATATTAGAATGATTTCTGAAGGCTCATGTGACACTGAAGATTGGAGTAATGATACTGAAAATTCAGCATCGTATCACAGGAATAATTAACATTTCAAAATATATTCAAATAGAAAACAGTTATTTTAAACTGTAAGAATATTTACATTTAGTCATTTAGCAGACGCTTTCATCCAAAGCGACTTACAAATGAGGATTTAATAATAATCATAATAATATTTTACAATATTACTGTTTTACTTGATTTTTAATCAAATACAGCCTTAGTAAGCATAAGAGACTAATTAAAAAAACGACCTCAGACTGTAGTGTACATATCAGTTTTTTAGCTCTACAGACAGTCATGCATATCCATGATATTTTTTGAGCCAAAGAAAAAGAGTCTTCTTAGAAAAAGTTGATATTTAAATAAAACAACTCAAAGCTCTCATGAGCTATGAAAGAAAAAATCCTTTGGGATTGAACATAATATATCATTGGAAACCACTAAGGTGATGAGACATTCAAATGAGAAGGACAAATTTTAAAACACTTACTGAACACAATATTTATTCAATTCGCTTAAAATGCAAAGATTAAAAAAAAAACACAAAGTGCTTATTCCTTGAGAAAAACTGCAGATTTTGGATCTTAGCTTGGTCTATTACTGGAAAAACTGAAAATGTTAAAAGCACTCAATCAAGTGGTTATCAAATGGCCACATGTGGCCACTAAAAGTGGATTGTGAATGGTCTAAACAGAAGCATCAAAGCTGATCTGCATCTTCCCCCTCTTAGTGCTTTTCTCAAGGACGAGGACTTTGCCAGGCTGCAGTCACGCAAACGCTCCCCAGGAGCCAATGGAGCATTCATTACCCATAACCCCCTTCTCTTCAACATCCCACACACACACACTCACTCACTCACTCTCTCTCTGGATCTCAATTACTCCCTGATGTGCAGTTTAAGTTGTTATTTACACACTGCAACTAACTCTCAAAGTACATTAGCATTTTCTAAAGGAAACAGTAGTGCTTAAAATGGTGTTTAAGTTGAGTAAGCTCAGGTTTTAGACTCAAATGAAATGCTGCTTCATCAAACATAGTCCTAGTCCTGACATTTAGCATGCATCTTGCACTGTAAGAAAATTCATTTAAAAAAAAAAAACAGATAATGTTCTGGAAAAAAAAATGCTGGTACGTTTGCTTAAAGTTCCAGAAAATGCATTCATATTAACAAGGTACTGTATGTTGGGTAGTATTTTAACACAATAATTTCAACACATTTCAGCATGTGTCATCTTTTAAGTTTAAAGGTGGCTATAGATGGTCAAATTAATGTATGAAATAAAAGACCAATGACAATTCAGTAACTAAATAAAACACTAAAAAGATCTACGACAAATGTGTATTTAAAAATGTTGTACTTTCAGTTTAATCTGATATTTTTTTAAATAACATTTATACTTTAAGAAATGTAAAGGAATAATTCAAACAAAAAAGTAAATTCATGTTCCAAACCTCAAAATAAATGTTATTTTATGTGTAAAAATTGTACTTTTTTGCATGAACTATTCCTCACGCGTATTACTATTAAGTAAAAAAGTTTATAAAAAAAAACAAACATCTACAGCTGAAATTAATAATTATTACTATTATTATTATTGCAAAACAGCTTGATCAAGATTATCATTAGTCTCATTATCATTAGGCATCAGTTCATGCTGGTGTATTAAGATGCTCTTTAAACCGGTTCAGAGCAGATGTGTGTCTAATAGTAGTGTTGCCAGTAACAAGATCTGCTGCAAACTTTGGATCTCTGCTATCATCACACGCTTCCCTTCAGGAGTCACTCTTTGTGACAATTAAACAATTAAAACGTCTGCAGCACAAACTGTGCAGGTTGTTACAAACTTAAGTATAATACTTGGGGTTAGTGGTTTGTTTAAATCACTAATCCTATGTATGAGCAATAATGATGTTTGCATTGGCAAGCACTAAATGAGCAATATGTTTCATCCTGAAAGGAAATAAAGAAAAGCTTTTGAGGTCAGTTTATACCCTCCACATCCCGAGAGGCCCGGAAATGTGTTGGAATTCATCTGGCCAAGCGACAATCAAAATGATTTGATTATAATTGTATGGAACAAGCCTCTAAAAATGGTGTTGGGCCAACAAAGGCCTTTCACAGGGTTTCCCCGCTGTGTTTTAAGACTTGTGGTGGAGAATGAAAACACAGTGTGTCTGGATCAGACACGGCTTCAGTCATGCACAATCAACCTGCACAGTAACTCAAAAGACAGGCACGGGCTGAGAGGAGAAAAACTAGGAGAATTAGCTACTTATGCTTTGACACCGATGTAAACCTAAATTCATGTAAAGGGATAGTTCACCCAGAAATGACAATTCTGTCATCATTCACTCACCCTCATGTCATTCTAAACCTGTGAGCATTTCTGTGGATTACTTTTAGTTTAATGACTAATGTCATTTCTATTGTAACTTGTATGTCACATATTTAAAGATATTTTAATTACACATTTGTAATGATGAAATATAGAAAGCAAGAATATAGAGCTTAAAGTAGCAGGTCTGATCTTTAAAGAATTTGATGAGAAATATTTGTATTTGTATATTTAAATCCGTGACTTGAATCTCATCGCTGTCTTGGGAGAAACAACTGAGACACAGGGGAATAGTGATTTTTCTTTTCTATAGGCAAATACTGATTGACCCACCTCCCCATTTTACAACAAAGAACAAGAAAGTGTTGAATAAATTACATACTGGTAAATGAGACGTCATAAAATGATTTTAATTATTATCAAAAGTTTTTAATTTAACCGGTCTACCAGTAGCAAAGCAAATTCTTCAATGTGACAGTTTCATATAAAAATGAAAACCTTTCCATGAAACCCTTTTTGATGACATTATTATCAAAAGTTTTTAATTTAACCGGTCTACCAGTAGCAAAGCAGATTCTTCAATGTGACAGTTTCATATAAAAATGAAAACCTTTCCATGAAACCCTTTTGATGACATTCCAGTTCACATTTTAACTTCAAACCTGACAAGAATTTTTGACATACTTCATTGCCTTGTCAATAATTTACGGCTTGAAAGGTGACGGAAAATGAGATCAGACCAAAAACGCAAATGGCCTTGAGAAGATGAATACATTAAAATGCCGATGTTTGAATGTAATGCATGCATCAATCTTATACGAACTGAAAGATCAAGGCTGACACAAAACGAGATCCGTGACGGTTCAAGTTCTTCAGGGCCGGATCTTGCATTATAAATGACTGTATTCATGACAGTTATGAATTTCACCATCTTAAGTGGGTTGTGTAAAATCTCCCTCAAATACACAAACCTGTGCAAAGACACCTGGAAGCGATAAATAAATAAATGTGACTTGACTTTACATTATGAATAGCATGGCAATCTACGGTCTCAAAAAAAGCTTTCCCAACACTGCATATTGCGCATACGATGCTGGGCACACAATGTTCCTTCCTTTTTAGTTGCTAAAGGTTGTTTTTATTACCCCTCAATTACTTTGTTATGAGTTGAGTTATGTTTGAGAGATGCCCACCTGCCAGCACACAGCCCAAATACTGCCAGCTCTCCACACAACAGCTCAACACTGATCCGTTTGAACACTGTCACAACAAACAGCATGTTAGTGTAAGAGGGGAATCTCTACATTACATTAAGCTACACATGGGCCTGTCCTTATATGGCTTCTCCTGAAATAAATCCCATTATTCTACACGGCAGAAGAACTTCATGTGTATTTACCAGCATGTTTGGCCAGCTTTCCCCCGAACTACAATAGAAGCTATTTTTAAAGTGAACTAATTTATTTTTAAAGTGGTTCTGCTTTGTATTATAAATAATTTAACATGCAAACTAAGAATATGAGCTAAAATTTTAAAGGAACACATGGGAGGAAAAATTCAAGAGGGGGAAATGTTTTCCATAAACTTTTGCAAATTAAATCTATATATACTCCATATAAAAATGTAAATGCGACAGAATGTACTACTAATTTATCCCAAAACAAAACCACAAAACATACTAAAAGACAGATCAAATTTTATGGATATGCTTGAGTGAAACACAAAGATGAGTTTGAGTCAGTTAACCAACATCAAGTTTATTTTAAAGTGTTCAAATAATTTTTTGGAGCTAATGTATGAAGTGTTGTAATTCACAGTTTTAGCTGGGAAATTTGCCAGGAAGCATTCCTTCTTACCTTGAAAGAAGCTCTTAACCCGCAGAAAGCTGACGCTGAGCCTCAGCACTGAGAGTTTGTCCAGTTTGGAGATGACATCTGCACTGAAGGGCAGCAGACTTGCCAACCGGTCCAGTTCTGCATTCAGACGGTCGCGATGACGCTTGGACGGATTCGATTTCTGATCTGCTTTCTCTGGTTTCCTGCAGATATAAACCATATCATAAACCTGTGTGGCATCCAATGGACTAAATTTTAGGCCTGTCGCAATAATCAATATATCGACTTATCGCGCAATATATGTACATGACCTCAATCATTTTTGGTGACACAATATATCGCCCATCATATTTACTTCAAAATGAATGTCACCATGTTTTTTACATTCCACTTGCGCCTGCGTCTTTTGCAGCTTCTCGTACATAACGTGGTGTAGTCATGAGGTGCTTGCTCAAATTTTAAAAATGCTTCTACAAAAAAGTTTCATCTGAAGATATGGCCTTGTTTAGGGATCTGTGCCTCTGTGCATACGGACATCTGACTGCTAAGTAGTGATTGTGTTTTTCAGCAATAGTGTGCTGTGCACCCTTAATATACAGAGAAAAGAAGGTCCGGAAAAAGTCTGTAGATGGAAAAATCAACATAAAAGTGCATTTTTCTTTTTTTTGTACTTGTTACTTTGCACTTTTTGTTAGAAAATGTTTATTTACTATTTATTCAAGTTTTTTAAGGTATCTAATATTTTGATACTTAATTTCCATGATCTAAATATTCTTAAAAAGTACAAGTTTGTAGTCATTTGGAAGTGTGTAGGCCTTCTTGCATTATTATGCTGTTACATTATGATTAATAATGTAAGGTCTTTAAAATGACAATAATATCGCTTATCGCAATTATTTCTGGGGCAATATATCACACAACCAAAAGTTGTTATCGTGACCAGCCTACTAAATTTGACAGAATTATGACAATTATGTAATAATTATTATTACCACCACCACTACTACTATTACCAATAATAATGATAATAGTAATAACAATATTATACACATTTATTATCATTAGTGACTTTTCTATTTGTATTTATTTGTATTAACACTGCCAATAAAACAGTCATCGCAATACAAAAAACCTTGAAACGATTGTAACAACATGAATTGAAAATAATTTACTATTATTGTCATTAATAATAATAGTAATTTACATATTTATTATCATTAACGATTTCTCTCATTGGTTTTGTTATTTGCATTGATGTTTTGTCAAACCAGTCATGCTAATAAACTGATAAATACTCAACCGTTTCTGCACAGGTTTTCTCCTTTTCCTTCCAGCATACAGACAGTCTCCAGGTGGAATCATTGTTCACTTCTCCAAATAACACGAAGATGCTCTTTTTAGTTCCTGGCAAACAGAATTAAACGTGGAAAAACCAGAAGGAAACAGAATAAGGAGGTGTGGAAGAGAAACAACAAACACATCGCCTCAGAGAAAATATAGATGGGCAAGTTCTGTAGTTACCCAAATACTGAACATATAAGAAATGAAACTCACCAAAATCCACATTCAGCCGATGATAACGGTTGAAGTAACCTAAGATAATGGTTTGAAACGAAGTCGAATCATCCGGAGTGTCAATAAGATGGAATAAACTCGATATGACAGCGACATCGAGCCCGCGCTGATGTTTTATAGCGCGCGGATCCTCACGCGAACATTACGCAAGACGCACGCACAGCGCAAGCGACGCGAACAAAATAGAACTTTCTGCTAAACTGGGCCAGCGAACCTGTACAGCAAAAGAACAGTGAAGAGAGAAACATTTTCAATCTATTACAACTGTATTTTATTACAATTCTATTGTGATACTATAAGTGTTTACAAGTGTGACAGAGGGTCAGATTTCACAGAAATCGTTTTAAAATAAGAACAAAACATACACATGCCATTTAAAAACAATATTTTATAATACTATTTATTAATTCATTACAATTTTACATAAATTATTTTCTATGTAGAGCTCAGTTCAAGGATGCTGCATTCAATCTCGCCTATTGTTTTAATTATTTTAATAAAGAACCAACAAAACATCTCTTAATTGTAGGGGCTATTTTAGTTGATTGGTGACAAATAAAATGGGTCAGCAGCTGGACCTAATTTTAGAAGACTATAAAAACAAATGTTGTGATTTGCAAAATAAAGATCATCAACATACTGTATCATCTATGATGCCTTCTTGCTCATATCTGACAGAGATTAAGTAAACACTGTAAGTGCCTTTTCATTCCCCTCAAATGCTTTAAATGTATCTTTTAATTTAAATAAACTATTTTATAAACATAACTTTGCTTGGTGTAGTTTGCCATCTATATAATGTTTGTTAGGTTTCAACCGTTTTCTACTGCACTTTGTATTTTTAATGTACTTCTCAATATTAAAAGATACTGGGATCCACCGCCATCTAGTGTTCAATAAACAAATGACACAAATGCAAAACACTCAGTTTATTTTTTTCTGATTCACTCAATCAAAAATGCTGCACATTACATTAGTCATGATTTAAGATCATAGAAGCATCAGTAGGTAAAAGTGATCAAGGTTTTTAAAGCCAGCTTGACTAGTCTTCCAGTATATAATTGGGATTCACCACCAGGAACGGATCCTCCTCCACGACGGGCTCATCTCCATCCTCACTGATCTTCTTAAGCCCTGTTTTAGTCAGCTCTATGATGATATGATCCTTAAAAAGAAAACATTGCAGGCATGTTACACTGCTTCAGTTCAAGTAAACGATGCATTTAAGCTGATTAAAGAGTTAAACTAACATAATGGATGAGTCTGTATAGCACTTTCTCGATGAGATTCTTCTTGGCGATGAGTTCAGCCTCAGAATCAATTTCACTCTCCATTTCCTTCAGGTACCAGTTAATGAGCTCACTTTTCTTCAGAGACGACTCCTCGTCCACTAAAAACACAAATATAGCAGGTAAAAAAAAGCAGATTGTGCATGTTTATTTCATCGTTCAGTGTATGCTCTTTATAACTTTAACTAGATCTACACAACCTGGTGCCATACACAACCATAATTCCAAAATGAACTAAGAAAATCGCCAACCAGTAAGTTGAACAGTCACTTTAAGAATTGCACAGTAAAGCATGGTTTAAATTGCTAAATAAAAAATGACAGACTGACGCTCTCATTTGTAATAAATAAATGCAAAATAATTAAAAATAACTAAATAATATTTATTAATATTTTTTATTATTATTATTTTTAAATGTATTATTCTTTTTTAATTATTAATAATAATTCATATTAAAATAAACAGCAATACAAATAAAATATAATGTAAAAAATTATGTATTAAAAAAATTAAATAAAAATGAATGGACAGACAGACATTGTTATTGTAATGGAAAAAAATCAGGGCTCACGTTGTTCCATCTTTTGCATGTGCAGCACCAGCAGGTTAGAGACCCTCTTGTACTCGGCGAATGACATTCTCAGAGCAGGTTTGGCTGCCGCTGGCTTCTCCTGCTTTTCCACCTCATCAGCGTCCATGGCCTCCCCCGGATGGCCGTTCACTTCAGCTCCATTCTGACCTTCTGTCTCTTTAGCAAACAGGTCATTCTGATCTGTGGAAGAACAACTCAAATCAGTCATTTTACGGTCATGATCTCTGATGTTTGATTTGAATGCAACCATTGCTGGTAAAGTGATACTTTTGTGACAGACTAGAGTGGCACAAAGCATTTGGACAATTAAGACACACTTAATTGCCAGTAGGCGGCATTTGCAAACAAATAAAGCTTATTTTTTTACTGTTAGAGTAGAGATGGATTATACTGAGATTTTTGACAAATTGACTCATTTCACAGAAAGGGACTAAACAGCATAAAAGCTGCCCATCTCACCATTCACACTGTTGTCATCCTGCTCCTGGTCAAAATTAATGTCGGGGGAGTCCACACGAATAATAGACTTATTTAGTAGTCTAAACGCCTCTTTCACGTGTTTGGGTTGAACCTTTCCAAAGGGAGAGGAGGAGGACACATCTCAAACTTTACATAAGCTATGTCTGGTGCATGATGAAACCGTTTTTGGGAACATCACACACCTCGTCTGAGCAGTAGAGTCTAGCCATGGCCTCAGACAGACGCAACATGCTCTCCAGCTGCCTCACTGTGATCCGCCAGGCTGATTTGGTGGTTCCACCTCCATCCCTCTGCCGCAGACGCTTGTACTGGTCCACCACGAACTCCTGAGCCTCTGAGGTGATCTACAGATGCAGGGTTATGAGGTCAATTATCATCTTTATGATATTTATAATCATTAATCATCGTTTGCTTGTCATTCCAAACCTGTATGACTTTATTCTGAATGTCTAGACAAACAAACATTGAGGTCTACAGCAAAAGGACAAGATTTCAGTGAATAGCAACTGGAATAATGTACAGCATCTTGCCTTTGGCTGAAACTGCCGGGCGAACAGTATGTATCTCTGGATTTCTTCAGTACTGTAAACTCTTTCTACCGACTCAATGTTTCTGGCATGAAGATCTACAATCCGCCGGGCGATGGCGTAGTCTGTAACCTGGCAGAAGAACAAGTAAATAAATAAATAAAGTATTTTGTTTCTCTCTTTACTTTACATATGCACACCAGCATTCAAAAGTGGAGTCAGTAAGATTTTGTAAAATGTTTTTGAAAGATGTCTCTCTGCTCACTAAGGCCAATCAAAAATACAGTAAAAACAGTAATATATTATTTCAATTTAAAATAACTGTTTTCTATCTGAATACATTTCAAAATGTAATTAATTCCTGTGATGCAAAGCTGAATTTTCAGCATCATTACACCAGTATTCAGTGTCACGTGATCCTTCAGAAATCATTAATATGCTGATTTGCTGCTCGAGAAACATTTCTTCTCATTCTCAATATTGACAACAGTCATATTTTTGTGGAAACCATGATACTTTTTTTTCAGGATTCTTTAATAAACAGAAATGTCAAAAGAACAGCATTTATTTGAAATAGAAATCTTTAGTAACATTATGAAGGTCTTTACGGTTACTTTTGAACAATTTAATGAATCTTTGCTGAATAAAGGCATTCATTTCTTTCAAAAAAAAAAATAAAAAATGACCCCAAATTTTAAGAACTGAAATGCTGAAAGATCTTACCTCATTGCATTCATCCACCAGTATGAAGAAAAGATCAAATCTGGACATGATAGGTGCCGACATGTTGATGTTCTGTTTGAGAGACTTGGCGCGGTTGTATCTGCCATCTATGGGGTTTGCAGCAGCCAGGATGGAGGTGCGAGCGTTCAGAGTGGCCTTGAACACACATACAGGTCAGACAAGGTGGATTACGGAATTAATAGACAATATTATATAAGAGAGAGACACACACCTTAACGCCCGCCTTTGTGATGGAGATGGTCTGCTGCTCCATGGCTTCATGAATGGCCACCTGGTCCTTAAGGTCCATCTTGTCAAATTCATCAATACAACAAACCCCCTACAGACATAAAATAGACATTAAATATGCTGGGCCATCATAATTCAGCGATGTTCTGGGTGGCTGCTTATAGAGCTGTAGAATTTGGGGGGGAAAAAGAAAACAATCAAATTGTGATTTTTCTGATAAAAATTGTGAATTTTAAATTGCAAATTTTAAATTTTGCAATTTTAAATTTGATTAAAAATGAATCCAGGTTTGCTGTGCTTGTTTGTAGGGCTACACAATTTGCTCAAAATTGTGATTATATATCAATATAGCTATTAAATAACACCACCACCATTAACAGTAATAGATAATATACATTATCGGCCAACATGAGGGCTCCTGCTTCAATGACGAACTCATGTGACTCCTCGTCTTTGACCACAGCAGCGGTCAGACCTGCGGCACTGCTGGCTTTACCGCTGGTGTACACCGCTCTGGGGGCGAAATCCTCCACATGCCTGAGAGAAAACACACAAATACATCCCAATCCAGCCGTCAGACACTTCAGTCATCTGTATTTTACATTTAAACTGTCAGCAAAATGTTTCTCGCGCATCTTATTTACTTGAGAAATTGGCTTTTAGATGTACTTGGATCTCCAACTATGCACACGTTGATGTCGCCACGTAAAGACGTTCCCTCCATGGTCGTCTTGGCAACACCACCAAATAACATCAGCAGAATCCCACGTTTAATTTCATCATTCCCTGAAAAACAAACATAGAAGACATAGCTTGTATATTCCACTTTATTTTCACGGTTATCTTCATTTTCAGTTGTGATAAAGAAAATCTTCTTTACTTAATACTAAATGTGCCTCAAACTCTTAATATATTTGCTCTCCACCTTATTTTTTAAATGTAAGCACATTTGCATTCATTTGTGACCCTGGAGCACAAAACCAGTCTTAAGTCGCTGGGGTATATTTGTAGCAATAGCCAAAAATACATTGTATGGGTCAAAATTATTGATTTTTCTTTTATGCCAAAAAACATTAGGACATTAAGTAAAGATCATGTTCCATAAAGATATTTTGCAAATTTCCTCCCGTAAATATATCAAAACTTAATTTTTTATTAGTAATATGCACTGCTAAGGACTTCATTTGGACAACTTTAAAGGCGATTTTCTCAATATTTAGATTTTTTTGCACCTTCAGATACCATATTTTCAAATAGTTGTATCTCGGCCAAATATTGTCCTATCCTAACAAACATACATCAATGGAAAGCATATTTATTCAGCTTTCAGATGGTGTATAAATCTCAATTTCGAAAAATTGACAATTAAGACATTTGTAATTTGAATGTGTGAAGCAATCCTAGAAACTGCAAAATGTTATTTATCATCATATTATTTGAATTACTTATCATAAATTGGTTTATAATCATCAATCATTGGTTTGTAGCAGAAACAGTTTCACTGTTTGTGCATTTGATATTTTCTTCTAGTTATTTACCTATAGATAGAAAAGGTCTTACTTCAGCATTGCAAAATATGGTGAATAGTATATCCTGTGACCAATGTACAACACTGATCATTGAGATCTGACCGTGAATGGTGGGGAAGAGACTTGTGCAGAGGTTGTGATAGAGATTCTTGTCTTGGCTCATCTCAAACACTTTCTCCCATTCCTGCACGGTCATCTGGTTCTTCACGCTCTCAGCTGTCTGATCCTCCTGACGAAGCTCCTTCCCTCCAAACTAAGAGAACGCAGAGGAACAAAATAAAAAAAAATAAAAAAACAGAGCAACAGGTTCTGAACTAATATCATGTTTTTTTTTTTTTTAATCAGTTGAAAGCAAATGGCTAGTAAATGCATAAATATTATAGATACAAAGCAATAAATATCAGTTACAGTTTGTGTTGTGACAAACGGCTCTCACCCGTGGGTTGGTTGGGGCCACATGGTTAGCCAGGAAGGCCAGTCTGTAGGAGAGTTCTCGGACACCCAAAGCCTTGAGTCCCTGAATGCCATCAGCCTCAAAGCCCTCCTTCCCAGTCACCCTGCTGCTGGTTTCTGCCCGCGTGCCTACAAAGATGAGAAGTCATATTTAAACTGTATTCAAAATGTATTTACTCACAATAGGCACGTCTGATCTTAAACAATCTTAGACAAACTCTCTCGTATTAATAGAAACACAGAACAGTACCAGCGAGCGCCATGGCGGACACATCAGGCACAACTATTAGTGTGCCGGTGAAGTCACAGCGGTCTCCTGCTTGTGCGGTTTCCACGGCCTCCGCCCTCAGAATCACCTCCACACTGCGAGGAATGGAGCCTCGCGGCAGCTCCGCCTGAGTCTCCTGGATGCGCACCTGATGAAGTCAAGAGGGTTTAAGAATCAATTACTTCTCAGATCAACATATGTGACCCTGCACCACAAAACCAGTCATAAGGGTCAATTTTTTAAAATTGAGATTTATAAATCATCTGAAAGCTGAATAAATAAGCTTTCAATTGATGTATGGTTTGTTAGGTTAGGACAATATTTGGCTGAGATACAACTATTTGAATATCTGGAATCTGAGGGTGCAAAAAAAAAACAAAACACTGAGAAAATCGTCTTTAAAGTTGTCCAAATTAAGTTCTTAGCAATGCATATTACTAATCAAAAATTAAGTTTTGATATATTTACGGGAGGAAATTTACAAAATATCTTCATGGAACATGATCTTTACTTAATATCCTAATGATTTTTGGCATAAAAGAAATCGATAATTTTGACCCATAAAATGTATTGTTGGCTATTGCTACAAATATACCCCAGCGACTTAAGACTGGTTTTGTGCTCCAGGGTCACATATTACACACCAGTCCATTTAGGAAAAAAAAAAAAATCCATGAAGATTCATAAAGCACCACTCAATATTTAGATGGTATAGCATATTAACATTTGGCAAGAAAGATAAACGTGCAAAGATAATGTGCAAATAAGGAAAGACTGTATTAAACATGCACAAATTCAATTCTTTTTTTGTTGTTGTTGCTATTTTAGGCAAATATTTCTAGTTGCTTAAATTTCAGTGCATCACTATAATGTATAGAGAGCTTTATGCAATACAGACGGTTTCAAAGCAGTTTTACAGTAATAAAAAAAGAAAATAACCGTTTTAATGTTACAAATTTCAGCTCTAAAGCAGCTTTAAAAAAAGACAATAGTGGTATTCATACTTTTAATTTCAAAATATTATCATATAAATAAAGACTCCACATATAATGTGATCAACACCTGGAAATTGTCAGATTTAATACATTTCAACCATTTAAGAAAACACTTAATACATGTAAATAAATATGCGTCCTGTCAGATAGAAATGAAAAATATTTCAATTATCAGCAGTATCATTTAGGTAAAAATGTAAAATTACACATTTGCTATAAGAGCAAAATTTCACTTAAAGGAAATAGCCACGAAAAGCTGCCTACATAAGCTTTACTTATTTGGCAAAGGTAATAAAATAATTAATAAAAAAAAAAAAATTTGGACTATCACTTTGGGTGTTTTCATAAAGTTTCTTAGCTGCAATTTAAAAAAAAAAAAAAAAGTAAAAATTGTTACAAATCACCAGTAAAATTAAGTTTCTTTGGACTATCACATTGGATGCTTTCGGAATGTTTTGTAGCTGAAATTGTTAAAAATCACCACATTCTTACTTTCTGGAAGTCAACGAAGCGGCACTTGTTGGTGTCGAGCATGAATCGGCGGCGGTTGGCACACACAGGGTTCTTGCAGATGGTCGGCTGTGTGTATTTGAACTGCTGCTCCACGTCTTTGATGACAGACTGACAGTCCAGACAGAGGAAAGTGCCGCTGACCAGCTCCGGGTGCACAGGGTGGGTTCGCACCACCTGACCGCTGATGCGTACCAGAGAGCCGATGCGGACGGTGGAGAGCTCACGGATCCTGGACAGCACAGAGCAAATGACCTTACTTGTTTCACATGCAGGTCAGTCAGTCATAACAGAAGCAATTTACATACACATGTATATTATAATATAGTCTAACATATAAAGAAATGTCAGTTAAATTATAAAGGTCAAAAAGAGGGTGCAAAATTTAAAAAGGGAGCAATTAAAAAAAAATTACAATGATAAAAATAAAATGATATTACAAGTAGGGCTGCAAAACGATTAATCGCGATTAATCAATTCAAAATATAAGTTTATGTTTACATATTATATGTGCGTGTACTGTGTATATTTATTACCTATATATAAATAAACACACATACATGTATACATTAAGGGAAAAAATCTTAATTTATATATAAAATATTAATATTTATATATAATATAAATTAGGCTATATACAAGTTTTTACATCCAAATACATACAATTATCTTTTAAAATATAGGCTATACAATATGTATTTATATATACACATACACCATACACATACAGTATGTAAACAAACTTTTATTTTGAATCGATTAATCATGATTAATCGTTTTGCAGCCCTAATTACAAGCATGATATGAGCACTTTGGAGTGGATGAACTGAAATACATACTTTTGCCTAGATGGAAAGTCTGAAAAAGCCACATAAAACTCTTTGGACGGTGGAATATTTCCATGATCTCTGGCAAAGTGGCGAACTGCTCTGCAGAGATACTGATAAACCCTGGAAAACCGTTACAGATGGCAGTGAAAATATGAAATTAAGATGAAGCTCTGTAGCAAACCGACAATTTATTCATTCACCAAATGATAAGTTTCCAATCAGACATAAACGCTCAAAAACTACCATTGTATATGATAATGAACAAAATGACAATTAAAAGCTGCTAACTTACACTTTATTTGCCAAAGGTAATACATTAACTAAACTTTTTTTGACTGTTATTTTGTATGTTTCTTAAAGTTCGGTAGTTGCAACTGGAAATTGTAGAAAAAGTCAAAATTGTAGGCTACATTCTTACTTCCAGAAAGTCAACATTAGTTTTTTTTTTGTAGGGTCGTTGAATTAAACATTTATAACGAATAGTCCTAGATAATATATCATTTCATTAAAACAAGTGAAAGTATTTTTTGTTTCATGATGCATGCATTTTTTTTGTATTTAATTACGGGTCTAATTTTAATATCAACTGTTTTTGGGACAATAAATATTATTATAAGGAGCGCAAATGAGGCAAACTTTGAGATACGCATCTTTTCTCCAGTTGTTGTGGCTGTTCACCTGTAGTACTCCTCTTGAATGGTGGTGGCGAGCTGCTGGTTGTAGTGCTCGATGTTGCTGAAGCTCACGGTCAGTGTGTTTCTCTCCGGTCTGATCAGCTCTTGCGCGTCAGACAGATATAAAGCATCGCCGGTTTTATCCTGAAACCTAATTAATCAGACCCATTTGAGAAGTGACGTTCATTTAGCACTTCGTGTAAAAGTATTGCAACCAAATGCACTCACTCTTCCAAAAACTCCAGAAATAACTTCTGACATTTCTCGGACAGTTCATCGCGCACTTGCACGCCCGCGAGCGCAGCTTCAACTCCGGGCTCCATCAGGTACACACGTCTCTCTCACACACACCCGTAAAAGTTAATGAGCCAGCCAATCATATACATGCGCCATGACGTCGACGTAATGACGTATTTGCCCACTTAAAGGGGTCATATGATGCTGCTAAAAAGAACATCCAATGTTTTGTTTGATAAATTAATCAATAAGGCATGTTAGCGAAATTATTAGGCCTAACACAAAATGAATGTAGCTATAAATGTTTAACGTAGCAATCCAAATTTTATCATCTATTGAATTAACGTTATATTAACTGTAGTGAAAAATTATTTTAATTAACCAATTAAAAACATAATTGGGTCCAACCATTCAACCTATCAAAAATATATATTTTTTATTTTAAAAAAAATTAACAGCTGCTATTGAGTTTTACAACTTAATGTGTTTTACCCTGCAACTTTTTCGATTTTATTATTTTATATATAGCACAATTTTTTGTTTATTGCAGTAAAAAAATTATAATTTTGAAACTGCATGTAACCACTGCAAGTAAAATTATAACCCTCAAAATATTAATATAGAACAGTTTATATATTTATTTTGACCTCATGAGGATGGAGCTCGACATATCAACGACCATTTGAAGTTTCAGGCTGTATTTTGTACCCTGTTCATGAAAAGTGGCTAACAGAGATGTCCTAAACATGCATGATTATATTTGAATAATCATAACATTGTCTTAAGGCTCTTTGCTTCATGTAGTGACTCCACAGCATCAGAAATACATACAGAAACCTTTAATTCTTTTATTTAACACACATTTAAAAAAAGTGAAGCACACTATACAAATGGTTTTCCAGTAGCAGGTAACAATGCAGACAACACGTCTACAGACCTGTCCAACTCGTTCGTTCCTGGGACGTGCAGCTAAAATTGCACCTTTTTCCTAAATGATTTCCTTTCTTCTCTTAAAACATCTCTGAAGCCCCTCATTGCTAAGATTTCAATGCATCTTTGTTCTTTTTTTCTTCATTTAAATGCTGATAGGCAATAACATGCTTAATGTGTAGGGTTTATTTCTGATTGGGTTTTTAAAATCGGCAATGTTTTATTTTGCGAGATTAAAGCTCGAGGTCTCCGTTTGTATGTACATTTCCAATGCAGTCTGTCCATAATGCAGGGCAGCAGTAAAGTCCGTCGCTCGCACAAATACATTCACTGACGCGCACACGCTCTCCCTCTTCTGTTAGTCCTTCTGCTTTTTAAACTCAACACAGGCCGAACATCAAGAGGAATGATATTTATTACCCGAGAGACAACTTAAAAAAAAAAAAAAGTGAGAGTGAGAGAGAGACAGACAGACAGTAAAGACGGAGCGGAGAAATGTTTAGGCCAAGTAGCTGTAGGTGTCCTTCTCTCCATCCACCCGCTCCAGATATTCCTTCTCTATGAGGATGTCAATGCACTTCTGCAAAACATAACAACCCAAAGTACATACAAGTGCTATTCTGTGCTGGTAAAACAGGGTTTCTGCAGGTTTTATGATGGTGAATTTAAGAGAAAGTCAAGAAAGTTTAATGAATAAATTGAAGGAAACAATACGTCAAAATGGCCTCTAAATATAAATGTCTAGGTTGTATTATCAATACTTGAAAGTAAAAAAAACAACAACTTCCAACCATAAATTTTACTGTACCTGCAAAAATAAGTGTTCTTCCTCAGTATTTTTGTTATTTTTCAGTACAAACGTTTCATAAATCAAGATACATTACTTGAAAAGCAAAATTACTTAAGATATAAAGTCTTGTTTTTTGAGGAATGAATCAAAATGAAGTGAGTTTATGATTAAAACGAACAAATATCGGTCAATGGGCTCAGAAAAATCAATTTAAAGAGAAAACTAGTTTTCACTGACCCTTGACAGTTATATTTTCTTGTTTTGAGCATAAGCAATTTTTTGGGGTTTCTTAGAGAACAAGACTTCATATGTTTAGTTCACATCTCAAGCAAATGTATCTTGATTTAAAGATGTTTAGATATTTGTATTGGAAAAAGAAAAATACTGAGGAAGATTTTCTTTTTTGCAGTGCATTCATCAACATTGAAGGGATAGTTCACCTAGTTCATGTTTATCTGCTTACCCCCAGGGCATCCAAGATGTAGGTGACTCAAACCGTTGCAGTCTGTCAGAGTATTTATATAATTTTTTTACCTCTGATCCACCGCTATGTCCAACTGTCCTGAGCGCATTCACAACATCCGGCACGTGACATCAAATAAATATGGTTTGGCAAAAAATTCCACGTTGTCTGATGCTATATCAAAATCGTCTTCCATTGTGATGACCTGTACTTCTAAATATCTAGATCATCGCAGTGCCAGTGAACACGTCCGCAATCTCTCTGCACTGTGTAAATAATGAGTGACGTATACGCGCGACAGATCGCTTCCGCACATGCGTCTACTATCATAGATATGTATAGATGCCCTATTCGACTGCTCCAAATACGTTGACGAGTCCGCCATTTTGGAACGTATCGCGGCCCATAGAAACAGTCACTAATGAGGCATCTACATATATATTTCTATGTCTACTATGCCAGAGCACGTACACGCATCACGCGCCGGATGTTGTGAATGCGCTCAGGACAGTTGGACATAGAGGTGGATCAGAGGTAAAAAAATTATATAAATACTGTTCAGTTTCTTGCACAGAACAGAGCTCTTTTCGTGTCTTAAGACCTCAATGCTTCGTCACGAGCCGCAGGGTTTAATTTGGTTTTGTTTGTGTATGTTTTTTTTACTCTCAAAGCCGTGGAGCCCATTTACTGCCATTATATGACTGACAGACTGCAACAGTTTGAGTTAAAAATCTCCGTTTGTGTTCTACTGAAGAAACAAAGTCACCTACATCTTGGATGCCCTGGGTGTAAGCAGATACATTTTCATTTTTGGGTGAACTATCCCTTTAAGTCCTTCAATTTGAGGAAGGGCAAATTAAGACTTTTTAAGACTCACAGAAACCCTGTAAAAACTGTTAAGCACACTAGATTTGTAGATCAGGATCAACCAACCTTGATTACAGGGACTCTGGGTTTGAACCGGGATGAGAGCTGATTCAGAACCTCGGCCAGAAGCTGCTGATGCTTCAGAACCTTCCTCATCTTCATGATTCTCACTATGGCCGCCTGCACATAGAGGAACACTTAAACATAGCAAGCTATTTCAAACACACATAACTAATACTTAGACTATTTTTTGCAATTTACTGAATGTATGTTGTTTTTTTTTTTTGGTGACAAATTAATACTTTTATTCCGCAAAAAAGAACACATTAAATTGATCAAAAGTGACAGTAAAGACATGTATAATGTTACCAAAGACTATTTCAAATAAATGCTATTATTTATTCATTAAAGTATCCAGAAAAAGTAAAATTTATCACGGTTACCACAAAAATACTAAGCAGCACAACTGTTTTTAACATAATCAGAAATGTTTCTCGATCAGCATATCAGAATGATTTCTGAAGGATCGTGTGACACTGAAGACTGGAGTAATGATGCTGAAAATTCAGCTTTGCGTCACAGGAATAAATTACATTTGAACATATATTCAAATAGAAAACAGTTGTTTTAAATTGTAATATTATTCCTCAATATTATTGTTTTTACTGGATTTTTCATCAAATACATTCAGCCTTGGTGAGAATAGGAGACTTGGACATGATACCTGAATCAGGAGTTTCCTGTCCTCTTCAATGTTTTTATGGGTCGTTTCCTGTTCCTGTTTCTGCTCTGTCTTCATTGGCACGTTAATGTTCACTCTTAGTTTTTTACTGGGGAGAAAATGCCTCAGCCATCAATATTCACAAATTAATTTGCTCTGCTACATTCTAAAGCACAAAATGGGAAAAATTAAATATAGATTCAGAACTGTTTGCAAGACGAGATGCACTCAGATGACCTACTTTTTATAGCCCAGGAAGAGCTTTATGAGGGTGTCGGGTTTAAATTCCACTTCATCCACGTTTGCGTTCTCGTCCTCTAGAAACTGCAAAGACACATACCGATGATTACAACTGAAAACAACTTCAAATACACAACTACATTAAATATTAGCCTGTGTTGAGTCAACATGAAATGGCAGTCACAGCCCATTTTGTGTCTGTAAATTGTAGTTTTTCAGAGCAAAACAAAATATAAGGAAGGTCTTCCATTGGAAAATCCAAAGAAAGTTAATTGTATTGTAAATAGTGGGGGTTCCATAGCAAAATGGAGTACGAGTGGATCAAGGAGGATTACCCAAATAACACCTAAATAGCTGTTTGGCTATTGGTTAACACTATTTATGGCCTTGATGACATCAGCAGAAAGGGAAAGTTGTTTCAGAGGTTGATTAATTATATTTAAATAAAAAATATTATGAGAAAAGAGGCTCAAATGTGTCAATTTTACTTCATAATGACTTTGCAGGAATCTTTGTTTGTTTGTTTTGATTAAGGACAAAAAATGCTTACCAGCAACTTGGATTTCAATAAAATTTGCAAAACCTGCACCAAAATGTCCTAAAATACACAAAAAAGGCTCTGTTAGTGTGCGAAATCAACATCTGACTGATATCTGGATCTTGTTTTAGCATTATTGTAGAGAGTCCTCTTTTGTTTCCTTACTATTTTGATCTGTGTGCTGTCCGTCAGCTGCTGGACTGTATAAACGTCTTCTGTGTTATACTGCAGTAGAATGGCCATCTGAAATGTAGATGCCTGTAAGGAAACACACAACAAGTCTGATTAATATTCATGCACTAATAATTGGATTATACCAATACAATTAATATCTGTTAGTGCATATTTAGCGAAATCACACAACCGTTCAAAAGTTCGCGGTCAGTAACATTCCTTTTCTGAATGAAACTAATACTTTTATTCAGCAAGGATGCGCTAAACTGATCAAAAGTGACAGTAAAGACATTTATAATGTTATAAAAGGTTTCTATTATAACATGCTATGTTCATTTATAACAATGCTGTTCTTTTGAACTTTCTATTCATCAAAGAAGCCTGATAAAATGCATCACAGTTTCTTGTCAGACCTGTAAGGTGTAGCGGTTTTTGAAGCAGTTGGTGACCAGTTCTCCTTTGGACAGATGGTACAGCCAGGTGAGCTTTCGGCCGCTGTGTCTGCTGGCATAGAAGGCTGTGAACCTTTGGTAGCTCCTCTCCAACTGTGTCCGAAAAGACAGATCATGGATTTACAAAAACCTTGGAAGGACCAAGAACAAGTGATTTGCATACAGGCCTATTTGTTTTACTACCTCAGATGGCAGAGCAAATGTGCAGGACTGCTGGAAGGGCCATGACCCCGAGCTCAACACCTGGATGCTGAAGTCCACTAAAAGCAACACAACATTTGTAAAGGACTTCAACCACAAATGACAGCAGCAAAGAAGAGCGCAGCTCATCCTTACGGTCTAAAGGCTCAGAGTTTGTGAGGTGCTTCTTGAACTGTTCGTTGAGGTCTTTACTGACGCCAATGTCCTGGAACATGCGCTGGAGTTTCGATGTGTATTCAAAGCCACACGCTTGCTGAAAATGACAAACCAAACCGTGTTAGACACAACTACTGATGACAGAACCAAAACTACAAAAAGGACAAGGGCACCACCAGGGTTGGGTGAAATAGAAAAAAAAAAATGTATAAAAAAAAATCAGTATGTATTTGTTATGAACTGTCTTTGTATGGTGCTAGCAACATCAAGGCCATGGGTTTGATTAACAGAGAATGCTGATAAACTGATCAAATGTATAATGTGATTGCAAGTGTTGTTAGGTAAAACTAAAACTATTACAAATTGTTTTCGTTAATCAAAATAATGATAAAATAAAATGAAACATATTAGATGAAAAAACGTAAACTTAAAAAAAAAAGAAAAAAAAAAAAGAAATGCTGCCTTGGCAACTAAATGAAATAAAAATGCTAAAATTACTAAAAACTAAAATAAAAAGAAATCTAAAAAGAAATATTTTTTAAAAGCTAATAAAAATGACAATACAACAAAATTACTAAAACTAAAAATATGAACATAAATTATCATTTAAAATGATCAATAAATACTATAATAGTATATAAATAATAGCAAAATAACACTGCTTTGGATAAAGGCATCTGTCAAATGCATACATGTAAAAAAGTAAAAGAGGGATTTGATAGAGAAAATACTACTGTCAGTGTCAAATAAAAGGCAAGAAGTAAAATACAATAAAAAAAATCTAGTTTAAATAAATATTCAAGACTTGTTTTTCATACAGATTCTCACTAAATGACAAGAAGAAGAAAATGAATAATGTAAATGCAGCACAAGGACTTAAGTGAACATTTCTGATCACATATGAATTGTTGAATGAAACATTGCATCCAGTGCTCATTTTAAGAACTGCAAGCTTTATGGATCATTTAAACAGAGGTTTATATTTTCCTAAGCTGTGGAAGAACTGCCGCACCTTTAGTTTGGAGATCATGCTAGCCTCTGCGTCGTCGCTGGCACTGTTCTGATGGACCAGACGCTTGGCCAGCATCTTTGCATAGAACTTCTGGAACACGTCCTTGTCCTCAATATACTTAAACACCACCATCTACAAAAAAAATCAATACAGACATTATGTTAAATCTTGCAAAAATTGCTGTGAAAGTGCAAAGTTTTGTAAAAACGCACCACTTGATTCAGAGTGTCTTCAAGTTCTGCCTCCTCTGGGTTTTTGGAGCTGAAATATCAGACAGAGCTTTGGATTCAGCACAGGGATTAAATAACACATTTACAGTGTGTGCCAACAGACAGAAAAACCTAAACACACACCTCTTCTTGAGCAGAGAGTCGCAGTATCTGGCCAGCAGTTCAGGAGATTTGCTGGAGGACTGAACCATCTTTGTAACAGCGTTATTATTGATGAAGCGCCCACAAGCCTGAACAGAGAAATGACATGTTTGAATACTTTCAATATCCAAAAGCTACCAAATCATTGTTCTAAAGATAGGGTTCATTTTTATAAGCAAAATATGCATTTATTATTCTCACTAGACATGAAAAAAAAAAAGAAATAAAATCTAAATGAAAAATGCTATCTACATGAAAAAAATAGATGTATATTACTATAATTAGAAAATTAATGTAGTGCATTAATTAATGTAGTGCAATCTTCTGCATATCAGAAACAAATTCTACCATTATAGTTTATTTTGAATTAGATTTTATTTTTAGATTTGCAGTTTTTCCGCTTTAATTTTAGTTAACGTTTTTGGAATTTTGTTGTTTTTGTCTTTTTAAAATAAACGTTAACTAAAATAAAATCTAAAAATCTTTTCAGCTAGTTGCCAAAGCAGTATTTCTCATTTTAATTAAGTTTAACTTGATGTACTAAAATAACTAAAACTAATAAAAAAAATAAAATAAACTACATAGACATGAAAAACAAAAAATGACAAACAAAAACACACAACAGAATCACAAACATTTTAACTAAACAGAAAACTTAAAAAAAAAAAAAACTGAATCAATAATAGTAAATATTAATAACTATAATAGTATATTAGTGATACTAAAATAACACTGATGGTTTGACAACTGAAAGATATTTCAGTAAATAAATGTTTATTTCAATTAATAAGTATGTTTTTTTTACTTATGCTTTTTGAGACAATAAAAAAAAAGCAGTTTGTGAGAGAAAAGGAATTAGGATACCGGCCCACAGACATGCAATAACTTTAGAGGTTAAATCAGGTTAAACAGATAATATTACTGGAACAGTTGAACTAATTCAATCTTGACTAAACAGAACTGAAAAGACGAAAAGATGGCCATACCTTGTCAAGAGCAGCCACAAAACCAGCATCATTGTTGAATGCCGACATCACCAGGGCATTGTACTTCTTGTGGACATCCAGAATTGTCTGGACGTACATTTTGGGGTCCTAAAAGCACATCACAAAATTCATAGCGGTTAAAACATGTATTGTCAGAAAGATCAGATCTAAAGCATGATGAGCTTGAAGCTAGACAGCATGATGTACAACAGACTCACATTGAGAGCAGACTCCCCACATTTCTCGATGGCTGCCAAGCCTTGATTATAAATGTGCGTTTCCAGAAGTTTCTTTAGTTCTCCCAATCCATCGGTGATCCGTGACACAAGATTGTACATGCGACCAAGATCTACACAGAGAGAAAGAATAAATCGTGGTTGAGATTTCAATGCGAAGGACTCATGTACAGATGAACAGACATTGAGATATCACTGTGGTTCACACCTTCATTCTTGTCTGCGTCCAGAAGGTTCTGGAACTCGGTGTGGAAGATCTCCAGGTGCTTCTCGATGAGAACCTGCTCACATTTCCTGGCCAGCTCATCCTGTGTGCTCTCATGAAGGTAAACCTGCACTCTCCTCTGCTCCTCCAGCAAACGCGCCTCAGCCTGCAAAACACACAGATCAACACTTCAACTTCACACTAGGATGGGGCCAAACAGGTAAACAAAATAATAAATAGTAAAATAAAAGTTGCAGACTTTTTATGACGTTAACATACACTAATAATCAAAAGTTTGGGTTCAGCAAGATTTTTAAAGGTTTTTGAAAGAGGTCTCTTATGCTCGCCAAGGCTGCATTTATATGATCGAAATACAGTAAAAACAGTGAAATATTACAATTTGAAATAACTGTTTTCTATTTGAGAACATTTTAAAATGTAATTTATTCCTGTGATGCAAAACTGAATTTTCAGCATCATTACTATTCTAATATGCTGATTTGCTGCTCAAGAAACAAGTATTAGCATTACGTTAAAACCAATTGTGAAAACAGTGATATATTTTTTTCAGGATTCCTTAATGAATAGAAAGTTAAAAAGAACAGCATTTATAAAATATATACATTTTTAAATTTTAATGTCTTTTCTGTCACTTTTGTTCAATTTAATGCATAACTGCTGAATAAAACTATCAATTACTTAAAAAATGTAAATAAATAAATATTATTTATTTGTTTTTAATCAAACCCACAATCATTTAGACCAAAGAGCCATTAAAGGCAAGCAGATATAATATGCAGTAAAAATCCAGTTAAAAATTCTCTTGATATTCTGTCCTGTTTCTTTTCAAACCAAATGATCACAATGAAGAAATAAATTTGTTAATAATTACATTTGTTATGTACTAATGTCATAAAATAATAACAGTAATATTAACCTATATAATAATTTTTATTAGTCACTTTTGTTTTTTCAAATGTTAAGCTATTTTGGCCGCACCTTCTTCATGTACTCAGTAACAGGATTCTGTTGCAGGAACTCTGTGCTTTCCCTCGTGTAAAACCGTTCGGTGTCTGCCAGGAACTGAGTCTCAAAGTATTCCTTGTAGACGGACAGAGTGGGACCTTTAGCAAAGGCATCATCCTCATTGAGACCCAACTCAACTGCGAGAGATGGAGAGGAACATTTCTGAGCAACTGCACTGTTTCTAAACGTCATGTATCAATTAGAGCCCGACAGATATATCGTTTTGCAGATATTATCGGCCGATATGAGCCTGTCGCCGATATCTCGGTATCGGCGAATATGCCGCCGATATGAACATTTTTTTACAGAACATATAATGCAGATAAAATGCTTGAAATGGTGTAATTACTTAGTTTATCCAGCAGAGCGTGCTCTATTGTTTGCTACTGGCGACCTGGACGAAACGCTTTAAAGCTTATGTCTATGGAAAACCATTGAAACTTTGAACGGCCATATCTCCATAACAGCGCGGCGAATCTGCACCAAATTCGGGGGATCCCTATGATTGAATAAGACCACCCTTGAATGCTGCTGCCTGAACAAGAGACCTCCTTACTGAAGTGAAAGTGTTGACTGGTGTTACTATCTCGCGAACGCGCTGGCGGATCTCCACCAAATTCGGGGGATAGCCCGGTTCTGTCAACACTGCACTGGCTCCCTATTAAACATCGTATAGATTTTAAAATCTTGCTTATTACTTATCTAGCCCTCTCGAGCGCCACCCTCCGCTCGTCAGTAGCCCCCCGGGATCGCTTGATCGGTCGGGGCCGAACTGCGAATTTAACCACCCGTAACTCCCGAACCCCGGGGGCTATCGACGTGGGGGTGGTCTCATTCGAAAGCGGGCCTCTATACGTACACTCGATTCACGTTCGAGAGGGTTCATCGAGCTGAAGGGATCCCCCCAATTTGGTGGAGATCTGCTGGCGCGTTCGCGAGATATTGACTCCAGTCTACACTTTCCCTTCAGTAAGGAGGTCTCTTGTTCAGGCAGCATTCACGCGTTGTCTTATTCGACCGTAAGTGCCCTGCGAAGTGAACTTCACATGATATTCTGCCATGAATCCAGTTCCAAGGGAACGTACATGTTACATTCAAAGGGCATTAAAGTGCGTGAGACGTGAATTTAAATTGTATTTATTTACAGAGGTATATTATGTCACACTGCTCTAGTAAGTTTCGTAAAGTTTTGTTAAATT